ACATGCAAAGAGTACACTTTAAGAGCTACTTTTTTCCACTCTGGATGAGGGGCCCCCAGCTGAAAGATACTATCTGATTTAGTGGCTGCGCTTGCCTAACTCTGGGAGGAAATAACAATAAACAAGTCCTGTTGACAACATATCCAAGTCATATTTTCCAACTGGTTTCAGCAACAATAAAAGTATATTTTCACACTCACCATCTACTCCTGCAGCCGTGTTCCATTTAAGTCTAACTTAGAAGAGAAAAAAGAATGCTTCTGCTTGGAAACAAAACAGAGCGTGCTGTGTCCTGCAAACTGAAATGTGATGTCCAAAAGCTGAGTAGTAATTTTGGAAGTGGTCAAAGAAATCCCCAAGGAAGAAGATGTTTAAAGTGGTAAACAGAAGATAATAAAAAAAAAAGAGAGGATCAATTGAAGAAATACAGTACACAAAAAAAAAAACCTAGGAAGAGAAAACAGATGAAAGGAGGAGGTAAAATCATCACTGAAGGGATTTTCCCAGAATTAAAAGACATGGGCTTCTGGAAAGAAGGGGCCTGCAAAGAGCATAAGGCAAAGTACCAGCACCGAGGTCTGTCATCATACAGTACTGAAACAGTGAGAACAAGAAGATTTTAAAACTTTCCAGAAGGGTGGGATCACAAATAATACACCCAAAATCCTCATAAATTCAAGTTTCCAAGTAGTAACTTTGGAATTTGGAAGATGATGGAGCAATACTGTCAAATTCTGAGAAAAAATGATTTCCAATTTAGAATGCTATAATTAGTAAGAAGATATTACCAGCCCTGAAGGGAACAAAATTTAGCTTTCATTCATCCTTTTTTGAAAGTCTCCTGGAGGATATGCTCCACAAAAGCAAAGGCATAAAGAAAGAAACACATAGGGACCTAATTTAAGAGAGAGATGATAGGAGTCCCAGGAAAACACTAAAGAATGAGCCCAGAATGATAACTATACAGTGTACTTTGAAAACAACTAAACTAGAGCAGCTCAAAACAGAGCATTAGATACTTTAACTATAAATCCATGTGAAACTTAGCAAACAAACAAAAAGGGAAACTAGTGCAACAAAGAAAGTGTCATCAGAGTAGCCTGCATGGCTCAACTATGAATAGCATTTTAAAATAATAATAATATTGACACAATACAAGCTAAACAAAAATTTTAACACAGCCATATCAGAAGGCAGGTTTCCATGTGTGGTTGATAGACAGTAGAAGAGAACTCGATCATCATCTTCCTTTGGGATACCAAGAGATAAGACCTGAAACTGAAAATATCAAATGTAGCACGTTAGAAATAAAAAGACAAATAGAAGACCAGCTCTAGAGGCAAATATCTGCAGAAACAGCTACAAAAGTTGAGGATTGTTGCCTCTACAAAGTAAGAAATGGGGAGTTGAAGACAAAGATTTTCCTAATAAGACTTGTGTTATTTCCTAACTTTATGTGGTTATATAATTAATTTTGATAAAAATAAATTCTAATTTTGTCCAAAGAAAGATTTCTCTGGCTCCTTCTACTTACATAGCAATTGATATCATTTGTAAAGAGAGAGTATACCTTTATTTTTGTTGTTCACAAAACTCTATCTACTCCAAAAGCCTTTGGAATTTTTACCCTGATGCCTACAGTGCTATTTTCCACTGCTGTGCTCTGGCTATTTTACACTTATCATGGGTTCTCTCCCTTAAAATTCTGCTGATCAACCACTCAGTCATGTACCACTCTTTCCTTTACTCTAGACTATCAAAAATAAATGACTCTTAAAAACCAGTGTCTCTAGTCATTATGCAGGACAAGATTAATGACATGTTAGCTTAAAGAATAACTATAATTCATACAAAACCATGAATAGAACACTTCTAGTTCTGCACCTCATAACACATATAAATGCAACAATTACTGGCTTTTATAGCTTGAAAAAAAATCTAATTCTACATTGTCTTTTTAAAAATACTGAGAAAAAATAAATAAAAATATTGAAGAATACTGAGGGCAGTTGTCAGCTGTGAACCCATTTTTAACTGAAGATCATTATTTTTTTAAAATGTAATCTCAGGTGTGTGTACTTCAGTGATCTTAGCTAAAGACCTGAAAGGGAAAACATGGTTAAATTACTGACTTAGAGGATAAATCCCTAAGGTGAAAGAATAATTAATGCCCCTTAGTTTTTTTCTGCAGTACAGCACGTCACCAAATGAAAATTTAGTCACACTATTACTGTATTTGAGATGTGATCAGTTTTTACCAGGGAAGAGATTCAAACACACATAATTTGGTTTTAAAGATGACCTGAAAACAAAAAATGCGAAAAATGTTCTCTCCAAAAGAAGACTGAAGCATGCTCCAGTTCATGGTAACTAAGAAGGAATTTTCAAAGGCAGAAATGCTGTCAGTTACATTTTTACACTTGGGTGAGCAAAAATCAGGGTCACTGAACATCAGCTTGAAGAGGCCTTATCTCCCTGAGTGTTTCACAGAGGAGGAAATTTGGGCCCAGAGACATTCAGCAGATTGCACAGGCCACAGAGCTCCAGGGGCATCTGCTTTACAGCCCAGGTTTCCTTCCTATGGACAGTCTCCCCTAGGAAAAAGGGGTGATACACATACACATACCACCCCTACAGTGAAACAGCGCATTTATTCACTGAGCCCTTGGGATGGCTCTGACACTGTGTCAGCACATTCCATGGGTTAGCTCCTTGAGTGTTCCCACTATACTACTTTACATGAAAAGCCCAAGGTACCTGAGTTCAACAGCAGCCCAAGATCCACCAGCTGGTGAGTAACTCAGCTGTGAACTCCATGGAAAGCATATACTAAACCCTCGTCTAACACATTAACTGCTTACTATGAAGTAAAGACTCAGTGTGTTCCTAGAAGATCCTCTGAGAAAGTTTGTCACCAAGCAACATTCCTAAGAGTAAATAATTGGAGGGCAGGCACGTGCGGTGTAGGGGAGAAACTGTTTTGTTTCCTTTCTGAATATCTGCCAGATCACCATTGGAAACGTGTTTTAGACCAAGAATCATAAAAGTGTAAAACAAGTAAAATATAAACAGCCCAGCAAACTTTCACCACTAGATTCAAAGTTGGATGGAAAAAAAATAAGCAAAGAGACTTGGGAACATCTAGAAGGCCTTGAGGAGAAAGAAAGAAAGAGAGAGAGAGAGACAGACAGAGACAGAGAGACAGAGAGACAGAGAGACAGAGAGAGAGAAAGAAACAGAACGCAGCTCAAATCCTCCGAAGCCTGCGGCACACCAGCCCCAGGCCCGCCAGAGCTCTGCCGCCCTCATGTCCCTTGACCCCCATTGTGAGGCTGAGAGGACCTTTGGCCTCCATCTGTCATCATCTGGACAGACAGATACCCTTAGCCTTGTATCCTAGGCCAAGTGAGCTGAAGCCCCTGGGACTAACAGGGCAATGGAAGTGCGGATGTTTCTGCAACCACGGATCTCACAGTAGGGGCCATAGCCCCATCCCAAGCGATCCTCCAAAGACCCGAGCTGAAGGAACAGGTTCCGGAGACCCAGAACAGCTCGAGGTCTGGAGGATGCTGCGGAACTCTGGGGACTGGGAGTGCAGAGCGAGGTAGCCCGAGGCTGGCGACTTGACAGCCGCCATTGGATACCAACGCCCTTTTTCACAACCAGCTTAACTGGCAGGTATTCCGTGCAGACAACCGGGAGTTCATGAGCTCAGAACCAACTTGTATCCCATGGTCAAAACGCCCTGCCTCTTCACTCTCTTGGGTGTGTTCAGGAGAGTTGCAGGTGGCCAAGTTGGGAAGGGTGAAGGCTGCAGCCCAGTCTCACCTGTTTCTGAGGCTCCCGGCCTTGGGTTGCGCTGTCCCCTACCGCTAGTGCTCGGCTATGCCAAGTCATGGGTAAACCGTTCGCCTGGCTCAGCCCGGCTTCCGCTGAGTCTCAGCCGGCAGGCACCAGGGTCGGGGAAGCTTTCCCCGGGTTCCACCGCGGGCATTCCAGGCGCGTGCGCACGGAGGAAAAGCAGAGGCGGGATTCCCTGAGGTCTGATCACCCCAATCGCGACTCCATCGAGGAGGGACAAGTACTGTGCTAGGGTTTCAGCCCGCCTTCGTGCAGTCTACCCTCCAGTAAAATGAGCTGCACCGGAGGCTTCCCTATTACCTACCCGCGACCAACCTCTTCCCGTAGCGTTAGCCACCAACCCAACGCAGCACTGTGCTCTTGGCCAGGTTGAGAATTAATTCAAATTCCTAAAGACTCCCAGAGAAAATGCGAGGGGGACCCGCAGGTGGAAAAGAGATTCCAAGCCTTCCCCCACCCCACCCCACCCCGCAAAGCCTAGCTCTGGGAGCTTTGCAGCCTGCCCTGACAAACGCACAAGGGTGTCGCCTGAGTCCAAACACAGCGAGGCATTTTTGTGGAAAGCACAGAAGCTTGTTTATAACTACAGGAGCCATGGAAGGAATGAGAAGAGTGATACAATGAGCCTTTAAAAGAAACCTAGGGTCTGTGGCAAGAGCAGCCAGGGAAACCAGGAGGCCAGAACGAGCCTAGTGGCGGCACGCGGCTGTAGCGCGTCCGCAGAGGCTTCTGCGCTACGAATGGGCGCGCGTCGGGAATGGGCTGGGCCACAAGTTCTTTTGGCACTGGCGCGCTTCAGATCTTGGAGCAAGGCACTGGCCGTGCGCCCCTGATTGTGAGCCCCGCGCTGGTGAAGCAGGAGTGGGGGGGGGGGGTTAGGTTTGACAGCACCTGTCAGAGGTGGGCACGTGAGAGCGGCGGGCTCAGACATCCCTTCGCCCAGGGCCCTCCACCTCCCCAGGACCCTCTAGGTACCTCCTCCACCGAGACCCTTCCTCCGAGCTCGCGGTCAGGCAGCGCAACCTGAGCGAGACCCGGCATGCGCCCTCCCGGCCTCAACGCCGCGGGGGCAGTGGGGCGCAGAGGACCGCTGAGAGCGGCTGGGTTAGGGCCAGGGGTCGGGGCGCGCTCCTGCTCACCTCTCTCACTGGCCTGGATGTAGCCCACGATGTCGTCCAGGTCCAAGTCTTTGGTCTCGTCGAAACTGTAGGCGGACGTGTGCAAACCCTCCTCCTGGAAAACCTCGTGGACCCCCTCGAGAGTGAAGTAGCAGTTGCGCTCCAGCTTGTCGTCGCTGTAGACCAGCACGGCACGGCTCCATTGGTGGTGGCGGAACAGGGCGAGCATCATCTCGCCCATCTTGGCATAGGCAGGCGCCACGCGCGTAAGGTGCGAGTACTCAGTGTCCTTGTGCTGGAAGCCGGCGGCCAGGGCTCCCGCCGACAGCATGGGCAGGTCCCAGTGCGACGCCAGCCGGGCCACCGGCGCCGCTGCGTACTCGCACACCGGCCCCAGGATGAGGTCGGGCTTGGTGCCCCGCGCCGCCGCCACGCGGTCCACCAGGCTGAAGAGCGCACGGTTGCCGCAGTCCGAGTCTTCGTAGGCCACCTGGAAGCGAGTGCCTGGGGGCAGAAGCCGCCGGCCGGTCCCGTTGCCCTCCACGCTGCGGAGAGCGTACTCAATGGCCGGCCGCACGCGGGCCAGCGAGAACAAGTAAGAGTCGTCCTGGGGCAACAGCACCAGCACCTCGATCTTCTGGGGCGGCAGCGCTTCTCTCTCCCGGCGCCCGCCGCCCGGGCCCGCGCCCCCGCCGCCTCCATCACCGCCGCCCGTGCCGCCCGCCAGCAGCGCGCAGCCGAGCAGGACGTGAGCGGAGAAAGTGAGCACCAGCAGCGGGGACGGCATGGTGCGGCCACTCGGCGCTCGCCCTCGCCGCCCGCTCGCCCTCCGCCCCCCACGCACCCTGCCGCCTTCCTCCCCACTCTCCTTTCCGAGGTCCCTGCGTCCCCTTGGGCGCCCTAAGAAAACAGAGTGCCCCCTTCACTAACGCCAAAAGATAGGAAGAATCCTCTGCAATGTCGCTAGCATTAAAAAAAGAAAAAGAAAAAGTTCACCAGTATAGTAAACCTGTGCGTCTGTAATATACATATATACTATTATAAATATATATTCGCCCTTCCTTTATACATATGCTGTTTGGCTTAGAGGTGGCTTCTTATTTGGGCGTTGCTAAGATTGCCTTTGAAAGCGCATTTGCAAAAGAAAAAAAAAGACTTGTCCAAGTGTTTGTAATTGACGGTGCATCTCCTTCGCGTTTGATCTCATTGATTCGCGCGGGTTCCCGGATCCATGGCCCGCGTTTAAATAGCGTGGCAGCGGCGGAGCGCAGCGCGTTACCACACAAGGCGCGCCGAGGCCCGGCTTGTGTTCCAGCGGGTGGGGTGGGTGGGGGTGGGGAGGGGTGGGGGCTGGGCTGGGGGAGCCTCTCATTAACATTCTTACCTCAGGGCTCCTCCCCGCACCCCTTCCCGGCCCACAGCTTCCTGGTCCCTAACCCCCACTACCCGCCTGCCCTGCCCCTCTGCCTTGCCTTAAAGCGGCCACCGCCCACGTCTGCGCCCGCCCGCCAGAGCCGGCACTGCACCGCGCGCCTCCAGGGTCCCCGCCTCTCCCTGGCCCTGCACTCTCCAGCGCTGGGCTTTAAAAAAGGAAGTGTGTTTGAAAGTAAAGAACCGCGCGGGCACACACGCTCACACATGCGAGGACACACACCTTGGGGGCAGGAGGTAGGACTGGGGAAAGGCAGTAGTTGTCTAAATTGCTACTCTCCGAGCAAAACTCCATAGGTCCCGCCGGTCTCACCTCGTTCGTGCTCTGGCCGCAGGCACTGCCGCCGCACGGATTGACTGGGCACCTGACTTTCCTGGTCCCCGGCTCAGGGTCGGGGAACAGGGACCCAGGACTCCCGCAGCCCTGCGTGGCCCCGGCTCTGCGCCAGCCCCCACCGTCTGGGCCGCGCGGTTCGCCCTGGAGGTGCAGCGGCGCCGGGGCCGCTGTGTCCCTGCTCACAGACCCCCCGCGGGCTCGCGGAAGGGGAAAGGGGAAACTTGTTGCTCCCAAAGGCGAGCGAATGTTTCGGCTTCTGGAGGTATCAGAAAGCTTGAAACGCATCTCCAACTCGTCCTCGGGGCTTTGTTTGCTAACCTAGCAAATGAAAACACTATCTCCCCAAAACGTTCCCCGGAGAGTCCGCCTGGGCACTGGGAGATCCAAGAGCTTCTTCCGCCTCCGGGCACCGCAAGTCACGCTGCCAGAGATTCTGCGACGCCAGGAAAGGTCCTGCCTCGGAGGCTCCGTCCTCCCCCTGGTCACCGCCACAACGGCAGCGGAGACGAGGTGGAAACCGCCGCGGAGACGTCCAGCGCCAGACGAGCATCGCCAGAGTTATCCGCGCAGCAGGGCAGCTCAAAAAGGAACTGCACCCTCTGTACGTGGTAACACACAGAAGTTATGTGCAACGCAGATGTGCTCCATTGCACAAGAAAATTCTGACGCTTAAAACCCGCAAATTAAAACAAATTGAAAATGTTTCAAAATGTCCTTTCATTTGGCCGTCCGGGTTCACAGATTTGTTCGTCTTAAACCTACGCCCTCTTACGGCGGAAACTCGCACCGGCTCTTTCCACTACCCTGGGAGCTGCTCCCACCCTCCCCCAAGCCACCCCCACCCAGCCCTAAATCGCCCCAGCTGTCCTTTGTGACCCTGAAAAGGCAAACTGAGGTTTCCGGAGATGTGGCAATCTCGGGCAGCAGCCCTCCTCGCCGTTAACAGCACTCTGCTTGTCGCGCTTTCTGGCATCGTACATGTAATTACGGGTAACATTTCATTCTCTGGGTCATTTAGATTTCAGATTATGCTGTGTAATCCCTAAATTTTCACTGTAAGTAGGAGATTCTAACTCTTGGGAGAACTTTCGTTCATTTAACTAGAGCTGCTAACCATTAGCGGAAGTGGCATCTATAATAAAATTTAATTCCATGTACACTGGAAATTGAGATTTTGTGCTTCACAGCAATTAACTCCTCCTTGAAGTCGTAGGAGGGCAGGCGTTGTCTATAAGACCATAGTTATAGTGACTTTTTTTTTACAAGACAACAGGACAACAGCTAAATCCTGAATTCCAAGAGTCTTAATGGATTTTAGCTAGTTGCCAGGAGACCTGAAAGACCAAGGTTTCCTATTACTGCCGGCTATGCCCACTGTCTGGGAGCCGCAGCCAACGGAGATACGATTCTGCCGTGTGTGGTGTGGGCTTACTCAGAGAGTCTGGGGTTTCAGTGGCACTGGGCGTGAATGCCACTCACATCTCAGGCGCTGCCCAGCCTCGCCCACGGGTCAACAGCAGGGCAGTGTGATTACGTTAGGGTAAGCGTCCCTCGTAGCCGCCTCCTGGCCTTTGGATAGGCGCTCTCAACTTCCAGCTTGTCCCGGACGAGCACCGACAGGACGCAGAGTGGCAGGGAAGAGGCCCCAAACTAAACAGTAGGAGAAAAGCCAGGGTTGGAGACCTTGCCCCTGCTCGAAGCGCGCCTTTAAAATTGCCAAGAGCAGAAAGTAGAATTTTAAAGAAAAATTTCAAATGTAAACAGGCAGAAGATTGTAAAAAGGCTCACCAAGTAGCATATGGATATTAATGTACGGATTTGTTTAATTTCATTAAAACAAATGTTTTGCAGCCAACTGAAAATTTGTGCAAATAGCATGGCATTCTGCAGTTTTGGAGTTAAAGATTTAAGAAATCACCCACACCAGGCCTGGTAGCACACACCTGTAATCTCAGCCCTCTGGGAGGCTGAGGCAAAAGGATCATAAGTTCAATCCCAGCTTGGGCAAATTAGTCACAGCAAGGCTGTCTTAAAATTTTTAAAAAAAAAGTAAAAGGGTCTGGGAAGTGTAGCTCAGTGAAGGTCCTGGGTTCAATCCAGAGACATAGAGAGAGAAAGACAGAGACAGAGACAGAGACAGAGAGAATAGAAAAGAAGAAAGGAAGAAAGAAATCACCAAGCCTAACATCTTGCATTCTCTAGTTAAAGAACTGAGGCCCAAAGAGCGTGAATGATATATACAAGTACTGCTTTGTGTCCTGAGAATATTTTTAAATAAGATTAGGTTACAAACAAACCATGTAGTACCTACTATATACCAAGTAAAAGAGGGCTGTGGACAAAGCTAACTGGCACTTTAAGTAATAACATTCTTTTCATCAAAATTTTATTTTATATTTAGCTGGGTATTCAGGCTACCTGGCAGACTGAAGCTGAAAATAGCATCATTTTTTAATAAAACTTCTGTAACACTTTAATTAGTTAAAGCAATAGGTGGACATAGTGTTGCACACCTGTAATCCCAGCACTGAGGAGTCTGAGGCAAGAGGATCACCACAATTTCGAGGCCACAGGGAGTTCAAGGCCAGCCTGAACTACACAGTGAGACCCTTTCTCAAACAAAAAAAACAAAAAGTTAAAGCAAAAGAAGGAAGAGGGAAAGTAGAAATAATATCTCTTGAATTCAACTTCTAAATACTTCCAATATTGTAAAACATGAAATGAAGAAAAAAAAAGCCCTTTCCACATTCAAAAAAACCCACAAATCTTTTCACTGGGTACATCCTTTCTGGCTTCAACTGTTGAATGTAAACAAAAAACAAAATTATGGAGAAATGCTACAAAATCAAATTAGGCAATTGAAACCCAGAAGGACAACACTCATGTGATAACACAGAAAGTCATAGACCTTCCATAGAATTTAGAAATGTTTTCACCAACATTCTCAAACCATGAATTTTTTCTGCTTTTTTGTTTTGTTTTGTTTTTTACTTTAAGCTACTAAAATGGAGAGGCAAGTTCTCTAGAAAGTAGTCAGCAGCTTAGTTTCCAGCTGTGTGAGGTGAAATTTGTGGCCATGCTACTCTGCTACTACCAGGAAAAGCAACACCACACACAGAAACTAACACATGATTCTTTGAAATGTAGTAGAAATCTATCAGAATGAAGTTTTCTCCACCATTTGTAACAGTTTCTGTAGCTCTTCTCCCTCAGAATCCTGGAACCTCAAAAGTAAGCATGCATCAGATTTTCAAAGGGCCTCTTTCTCCCTGTCTGGCTGGCTCTGAAGTCACACTAAAGATCACCCCTGTGACTCATGTGGCCCGCGAGAAAATACTTTCTGGGGACAGAAATATTGAAAACACACTTCCCCCTAGAGGCAGAAAAGATGAAAAGACATTACAAATAGCCAAACACGTTTCTGTAATTGAGTGTTGAGATTCTCATTTTTAACACAGAGTTGATGTTTCAGGGGGAACTACTCAATAAATGGGAGGAAAAAAAATCAATGGACACAAACAATTGAATTAAACCTTTGCCTCTAGGTTTTAGCTTTCCTTGCAGGGACTCTAATAATTGAGCCCTTTTTCTCTATTACACAAATCTACATTTTTTTGCCAGTACTACAAATAATAGCAATTATGTATTTTTTGTTGAGATTTATGATTCATTTTCATCAGAAACCGCAATTAAATGTGGCCATTGAGAAGGCTTCTGTGCTACTGTCCTCTTCGATTTCCATCCACTAGTCTTATTTTCATTTGTTTGAAGATGTTCTGAGGCGAAGTAGCACTAGAAAGACTCCAGAAAAATGTATTGCTGGTTTGTGATTTAACGTCAGTACTGCTGTAAGAAATGCAAGCATGTGCAGTATACATTTACAGACAAGTTACTTAATGTAGATTATCACATTACAAAACCAGACATTACATCGAAAACCAAGTGTATGTGCCTCAGCTTCATGCACTGTAATACTGTTTGTTTTTCTTTTGAACACTGTGTTCTTCCAAAAACAAGATTTGAGAAGGCACATACATATATGAAATGGAATCTTAGAGCAATTTGTTTAGGGCAGCATGCTCAGGGCTCTACTTTCTCCTGTAACCTTCAGCAACAGCCC